TTCGAAATGGGTTCTTTGGGGGAACTTTCTTCAGGGGTGGGGTGTAACCATGAGGCCAAAAGGTTTTCTTATAACTTTTTTGGGGAAACACCCTTTTTTTTGGGGTCTTCTTTTTGGGGGGGTCCTCCTCTTCGTACCTTTCCCAATTCTGTTAAATAGGCATTTAAAAAGCATCTTTATTTTCCTTCCCCATTTTCATTGAGTGGGAAAGGGTTTTTTGCCAAAATTAAAAAATATTCTTTAAGGGCATCTGTTTTTTTACACAAACTTTCTTGCCTCTTAAAATGTAAATCAAACCGGGAATATTGAAATACAAAAAAAAAGTTTCTTGTTAAAATTTGCATCCTAAAATTCCCAAAACCCACTTTAAAAAGAATAATTAAAAAAAAAGGAAACAGGAAAAAACTAAGCTTTTTTTGGGACAGTATTTTCTTTACAAAAAAAAACAATTTTTTTTTGTAAACCTTATTTAGTCTTTAGCATTTTTTGTTACTGATTTGCCAAAAATTCCCACGTAACAACGTATGCAGAAATAATGAAAACTGAAAAAACCCCCCCCCCCCCCCCCCCACCAAAAAAAAGAGTACCCACTCATGGGAAAGGTTAAGTTAAACAAAAATCTTTAAAAAATCCTTTTTCCGGGAAACCCCAGCAAAGGGAAAAACCCCAAACATTAAGAAAATACTTCACGGCTTTAAAATGAAACGCCTAACAAAATACATGTTGCAATTTTTCTAAATTTAAATCAAAAATAAAGAAAACCTTGGTTACTCCCCAAATTTTCTAAATACACTCTTTAAAAAATTTCAGGGGAACCCTCAGTTCCCCGGCCTGCTTGGTTTGCCCCAAAATGGAAAACCCTCACTCTGAGTAAAAAAAAAAAAATTTTGCTAGATAACCCCTTAAAAAATCAGTTTGGAGCTTTCGTCCAAAATTGAGTCCCCCCCGGCGCCCTGGGGTGGGCCCGGTCACTCATCCTTTCTCCCGGAAGATGTTTCCGGGGATATGCGATATATTTTGTATTATTCCATTTTTTTTAGTGTTTGAAACTGCAAAATAAGAAACCATGGGCCCAAGAAAGCTTCTAGGGGCCAAACCCCTGGGGTAAAAAGGGGTGAGGTTTACTATCAAATTTAAAAGGGGGAAATAATAGAAAAGTACGGGGAGTGGAGTGAAATATCTTGGATTTGGGAAAATTTTTAATTAAAAAAACCCCCTTTCAAAAATAAAATAGTACCCTTCCCACAACAAAAAGGAAATTCAAGGAAGCTGTTTTTTTTGGAAAAGGGGGCAAGGTGATTAAAAAAAACAGGGGATCGAAAATTTACTCGAAGATGTGGAGGAAAGTTGTTGGTGTGGAAAAACGAGAAACAATTATCGGAGATGGGTTTTAAAAGCCAATCATGTGTGAAAAAGGCAAAAAAGGATCTCTTTTAAAAAAATGCCTCCCAAAAATGCTGCTGTTGATGAAATTTTAAAGGGCCGCAAAGGTGGTTTGAGAGATTTAATTAAGTGTAGTGGCATTTCACAGCGTGTTTTAAAGGGATGGTTTAGGTGCCCTTCTGGGCCAAAAAAAATGGTGAAAAATTTTGTGCAGGGGCTTTAAGAAAAAATAGGGCACTGAAAAATTAAAAAACCCAAGTGTTTAATTGTGGGCAAAACGGGGCCCGTTTTTGAAGAAAATGCCAAAAAAAGGGCCTACATTATCAGGAGGAAAAGGCCTCCCCCGGGCAAAAGCCTATGAAAAACAGGCTAACTCTTTAAAGTTTTTGTAGTAATGCTAGTGGGGGGGGTTTAAAAATGAAAAACCTTTTTCTTGTGTAATTTCTTTTGAAATCCTAGAGTGTTCAAGGGAAAAAAAATTTTCGTGAAGACTAAAAATTTTTGTGTGTTTTGGAGAGCAAAAAAGGAAGGGAAAGGGTTTACCCAGACTGTTTTCTGAATGGTCTTTGATGTGTTTTGGCCCACTGCAAAAATACCCAGAAAAAACAAATTGTCACTCAAGTGCCTCCTGGTAAAAGGAAAGGGTTCCCCGGGTCCCTTCTCACGACCCGCAAAAGGCATATTGCAGGGGGGTTGGGGCTTCATCCAAAATGAGGTTTTGCCCCCTTAAACCCCTCCTCCCTCCCGCCCCGGACCAAACAGGTCATTTCAAATTTCAAAAAAACTGTTTCACCCAAAGTAGTGTTTCAAAAGTGCTTTGAAATGACCCCAGACCCTGAATTGAAAACCCAAGAGAGCTTGAAAAAGATTTACTTTAGTATTTTCAGTTGCATAAACCTTTTGGGAAGGGGTTTGGGGGGGGGGTGACTTGGAAAGGGCTTTAAAATTGCCCTTTGGGGAAAAAATTTTAGCCAAATGTGTACAAGGAGGGATTTTGAAGGGTTTGGGGCTGACCCTAAGGGCCTTTTTCCAGTTGTGGAATTTTATGGGCATTTGGGGGAAGGGCCATGGGGGTTTGGGGGGTTAGTGGCGAGGATGTGGAAAAAGTTGGGGGGGATGACAATGAAAACAACCAAATACAGAGGGTGCAAGAGCTTCAGGTTTCAAAGCAACAGACCCCAAAAAAAACTCAGGGTTTTCCTTCAGAGGTGGAGCAAGGGGGACGGAGGAAGTTGCCTTCGTTTAAGATTAAGGAATTTTGTAAATGTGGAAAAAAGGTGGAAGATTTATGGATGGAAAAATTATCCTGACACAGCTGTTTTCAAGCCCTTTTTGGAAAATTGTTTAATGACACTTTTGTGGCCCCCCTTTTTGGAAAATCTTTTAAAGGGGGATGCGAAAAAAACAGAGCTCTCTAGAAAATATTTTGCGCCCCAGGGGGCCCGTGGCTCTAAAAAATGGGCCTTTGTTGGGGATTAAAAAACCAAAAAAGGGCAGTAACCCAGAAAAGAAAATTGTTTCCTGAAGTTTTTTTAAAAGAAGGGGAAATTTCCCCCTTTCCCAAAAATTAAAAAGAACACCTGCATCATCTGCCCTTTCCTTTCCATTCCCTCACTCTCAACCCTTTTCCAAAAATAGAGGTTTAAATGTCATTTCAGTGATGTTTTTTGTGCAAGTAACATTGGGGTTCGTGTTGGAAAATGTTATTTTAAAGTGAAAAAAAATTTCATACTTTTGGGGGTTTTGGAACGGATTAATTGGATTTCCATTATTTCTTTTTTGGGGGGAAAAATTTGTTCGGTTTTAAAAACTAAATGGTTAAAGGCCCAGCTTTTTCTGGAACGATTAAAGGAAAACTAACTTTAGGGTCCAATGTACAGTAAAACCTTCATTAAAAATATTTTGTTTGTTTCGGCTACAAAAAACCAGCCGGAAACATGAAAGGATCAAAAAAAAAATGGACAAGAGCCCCTAATTCAGGATTTTGCCCCCAGGGAAAAAGGTGTCCCGTGTCTTCGGAAAAATTTTTGAACAAACCCAATGAAACCAACATTATCCAGTTGGGCCCGGGCAACCCTGTCCCGGACCTGTCAAATTTTTATTGTTTTTCCCGGGGCCTTGGCCAACCCCTGCCCTTTTTCTGGGCTGTGTCATTTTTCCCCATACATCATCATTCAGTCCCTAATTTTTTCCCCCGGTTTTTGGAAATTTTGTGTGACAAAATTTTTAAAATTGTAGGTGAAATGTAATTTAAAAATGGGTTTTTAAAGCAAAAAATGGGGCCAAAAAAAGAGGGGGAAAAGTTGTGGTTCTAATGTTGTACAGAAAATTTTAAAATAATAAAGAAGGTTGAGGTTTTGGCCCCCTTAGTTTGGGAAAAGGTTTTGTGAGGAATATTGTGTTAAGAAACAGTCTGATTTCCAAAGGAAACAGGAAAAACTTTAAAAAATATGTTCTTAAAAATTTTGTGTAGATGCCTTTGGGGGCTTTCCAGCTCCTCTGACTTAAGATTAATTTGTTATTCTGAGTCACCCACTATCGATCATGGCCCGTTTACATCTTTAAATTTCCCTTTAAAAAAAAGGGAAGGGAAAGTTACGTAAATTTACTATGCTACTTAAAAAAACAAGTTACACTACCCAAAATTCTTAGTGTCTTTGTTGTCTTCTGCATTAGCAGACCAAGGGCCCCTAGTTAAGAAGAAACCAAAATGAAACATGAAAAAAATTTAATTTTATAATTTTAGAAGGGTTCAGTTTTTTCAGCAATTTCTTACAAAAACCCCCTTTTCCCCATTAGGCCAAATTTAAATTTAAAGAGAGGGTTCACTGGACAACACGGCAGAAGCCCTCTATCTCATAAAAGCTGTACAGTTTTTCCTAATTAGTTTTCCAGAGAAAAAAAATTTTTGGTTTTTCGAATGGGAAAAAAAAAAAGATCCCTAGTGCAAGAATAAGCAAGTTTTTTGAAATTTATAATGTTCAGCTTTAGTAAACTCCCCAAAAATCTAATCTCTAAATATTCAAAAATCCAAAAATTTGGGATTTTACAAAAAAAACTATGGATAAAACCAAACCCAAAACAGTCAAAATCTTTGAAAGCAACCTGCTACTTTGATATGTAAAAAATCTTAACAGGTTTTTTAGTTACAAAAACCTTACCTAAGAGGAAAATGAGAGGGTAGATAAAGTGTTTTCTTTATTGTTTTAAAGGGGAAAAAAAGCAGAGGATGTGAACAAAAACTGCAGAAAATTTGAAAAATTTAGTTGTTTTTTTAATTGAATTGCCCCTGTTTTTTTAATAAGGTTGAGGGAGCCCGTGAAGAAGAAGTTTGTAGAGAAATACCAAAAACACATTAAAATACTTTTATCTGGTGTTTATACTTATATATTCAATTAGGTGGTTGCTGATTCATTAATAATAGCTAAACCACCAAGTGAAAGTCTTCAGTAAATATTTTAAAATCCAACTTCAAGTCTTCAACCCTAAAAGACAACCAATATACATAATGCAATGGAAATTCTGTATAAGACTATCAACACAAAAGGAAAAAAATGCAAAACTATTAAACAAGTCTTCCTCGTACATAGCAGTTTTCCTTTATATAAATAACTCACCTGACAAACATCTGCAGTTTTGTAGAAATTTTTTCCATCGATGGTTTTCCAAGTTTCCATAATAGTAGGCATGTCCATAAACTGAAAATGCAACATAGTTATACAAGGCTTAACTATATTATTTATCTACATGTACAGTATTTCTTCTCTTCACTTTTAGTAAGCTATACCAACAGTCATAACTCAGTGGTGACTCACCATCATCGTAAGCTCCTCTCTCTAATGTGCGGGTTATTTGTGGATTGTTCCAGGCATGGTATTGTGCCTTTTTGTTCCAATAGCTACAGTTATCAACTCCTTAACTATCCAAACATTGATCTACGTTGTTACTGCTAGCGCTCCAAACGTAGATCAACGTTTTATTTTTCCTGCCTCCAAATTTGGTATGATTAGCCTGAGATGCCTGGTCAGTACAGAATGGGTCTTAATACTTGGTGTGTGCAGCATTAAAAAAATCTGGGACTACTTAGTACCTTGTGGGAGCACCAGTTCAACTGAGTGTCTCTGTCTCGCAGGTACACATAAATACAATTATTCATAGTATAAATCACCTAGGATAACCCAAAAATAATCCAGACAAAGTGCTATACGTACTGTGCTAACAGACATAAGGCATAATAAGCATGACTGGAAAGTAATACGCATTTTCATTTGTTCAAGAATCAGATGTGACGACTCTGCATCATGTGTAATACCTGTTGGTTCGTGAGCGGCTCTCTCTCTGAGACAGAGACAAGCAGAGAGACAGAAAAACAGACACACATGCAGTCAAAGATAAGCAAAGACAGATAAACAGAGACAGAGCTAGACAGACAAACAGATAGACATGCATGTTTATATGTAACACTGAAAACAAATAAATCCAAGGCAGTGCACGATCATCAAGTGACAATCCACTGCTGCACTGTCAGCAGTGGAGTGACATTCATCTTACAGTAATAATACACCATGCTTCAAGGAATTTTATATATACTTCAGTATGTCTCAAACATTGCTGGGAACTATAAACACTTTGTATATGCTGTATTTCTAGACAATAGTATGTGACCAAGGCAGGTGAAAATGTTCACCTGTCAGTGTTTGTGACTATTTGAGTATTATTTCAGTACCTAATACTGGTGTCAGAAAAAAGATTGGCTATGAAATCACAAGAACTACTACAAATTGTAATTATCAGAACATAAAAATTATATAAATTAAAAAAGAGAGAGAAATAAAGGTATATTGGCAACATTTCTGCAAGCGGCAGGACTCCATGTTGCCATGAGGCAACAAGGAGCCAACATGTGCCAACTTCACGGCCTTGTATCTCGGTAAGTACTGACCCTAATTTGTTTTTTTTTGTCTTATTACACAAAGAAAATTGCCCTTTTAAATTTAAAAAAAAAAATTCAAAATATTCGGAGAGCTGAGCAAGAGAACGTAGATCTATGTTTGGACAGTTAAGGGGCTAATAAGTACTGCACCAAAAAAGTTTTCCTTACAGTCCTTTGTTTGTCCTTATCAATTTCTTTGTTGTGAAATGCATCATGTACTGGCAATAAATCACATGCTGTTACTGTATATTTATTTATTTATTTACTTGTCTTTGCAAATAGTACATTGAGATACGCATGTATTAAATCATACACACTGACAGGAGGAACATAACTGATATTTACTGTATATATAAATAGAGGGATGTAGTCCAAACACTTGTCCACCCTATATGGTATGGTAGACCCTTATACTACACAGTAGTTATGTTCCTGGAAATGCCATGTGAGATAAATCTTTTTTACATAAACTGAAAAACTTATGGGAAAAATAGGGTTACGTTCCTGGGAGCCCCAAAAATGCCAAACTTTTTTTTTAGACCTCCGGCTTTTACAAAAATAAAAGTGAATATGTAATTGTTGTTCATTGTTGTGATGTATTATATTGTTTTTACTGCTTAAGTAATAGTATTTCTTACCTTAAATTGTGGGTGCTGGTGTTTGTCGATCAAACAACCAATCAATCAATCAATCAAGTTTATTCTCTATAAGGATTACAATGCAGAGTTTACAGATTTTGGTTATCGTGTGGTTTACATCTAATAAAATACTAATTACAGAGGGGGCCACTAGGACACCTAGCATGGCTACGCATTTCGGGCAGACTTAGATTAATTCCTAACTCTATGAACCTAGAAAATGGACAGAGAACCTTCATGGCATGCACAACGGAGATAAAACACCTCAATTACTGGGAGTGCTTGAAGTTCCTGAACCTGTACTCCCTGGAATGCAGGCGGGAGAGATACATGATTACGTATACAGCAGGGCCCCGCTTTACGGCGTTTCACTTTATGGCATTCCGCTAATACGGTCATTTCAAATTATGACCAAAACTCGCTATACGGCTCCCCCCACCTGACTTTCTAATATGGTCACCACGCCCCACCCTGTTTGTTTACATTCTTCATGAGCTCGGTAAGCACTAAGTCTCTCCATTTTGTCTGGAAACTCCAAAATTTCAAATGTTTTTAAAACTTATTTCATATTTTATATATACTCTGATAATTATACTTATGTATACCTGTACTTAAATAAACTTACATACTGTGCTGGCATGCAGGTACACATTAAAATCAGTAAGAGTGTCTTATGCCTCAAAACGTCATATTGTATGTAATAATAATCATGAGTCTCATTTAATGTCGTATTTTACGTTAAATACACATTTTCATTAATCCATCTATGATATTTTTTCAAAATTATATAATAAACACGATACGTAAATAAAAGATGAAAAATACACCGCACATAGAAAAAATTTAAAACATAAATATGAGATGTGGTAGCAGACAAACTTGCACAAGTGACGCCATATTAGAAATAATAATAAAAATAATAATCACCGAGTCTCATTAAATGTTGTATATTACGTTAATATACACATTTTCATTAATCCATCAATGATATTTTTTTCAAAATTCTATAATAAACACGATACATAAAAAAAAAAGATGATAAATACACCCTACAATAGAATAAATAAACATAAATATGAGATGTGGTGGGCCAGATAACTTGTAAAAGTGATGCCAAGAATAACATTTTCTCTAATCTAACATAAGGAAAATGTGTTACGGGGGGTAACTGTAGAAAATTATTCCTTTCGTATGTATGTAAGTAAGTTTAATCAGGTATACACAAATACAGTTACATAGATTATCATACATAACAACATATGTGTAGAGAACCTAGGATAACCCAAAAAAGTCAGAGTGACTTATTTCCATTGCCTTCACTCAGAGCATCATTTCTTCTCAAATGAGTTACATGAGAATGGAGTGTTCTCTTTATTTATTCTACCGTATCAATGTAGAGAACCTGTACACAATGTAACTTGTACACAAACCAGACGCCTACACTGTGTTTACAAAACTTACCTTCGCCTGGTTTGTTTACATAACTCTGCGCCTGTCCCCTCTCATGCACTCATTCTTTCTCTCTCTCATTTATTCGTTTTATCTCATTTACTTACTCCTGACCCTACATTAAGACTACAAATATTTTAAGGTAAGTAATGAGTGAACTGTATATACATTTTATCGCTCTGGGATGCTTAAATGTAATAGAATATTATGTGTAGGTGGGTTGGCTGGTATGGTAGCCTGGCTGACTACATCATACCCCCACTTGTTTTTATTCAATAAATACTCTCATCTCACCTATTATTTTAAGGTAAGTAATGAGTGAACTGTATATACCATTTTATCGCTCTGGGATGCTTAAATATCATAGAATTGTATGTGTGGGTGGGTTTGGGTGGTATGGTTGCCCGGCTGACTACCATACATACCACACTTGATTTCTTACAATAAATACTACTTGTCTCACCCTAGATTAAGACTATAAGTATTTTAAGGTAAGTAATGAGTGCACTATGTGTGTATTGTACTTTTTTATTGTTTTTTGATGCCTGGTTCTATTGCTAACTTAATATATGTTAGTGTAAACTTGTTATCTAGTGTTTGTATGCATTTGTAAGTGGAAAAAAAGGGTGTTCCACTTTACGGTGGTTTCCGCTTTACGGCGGTAGCCTGGAACCTAACCAGCCGTATAAGTGGGGCCCTACTGTATATACCTGGAAAATCCTAGAGGGACTAGTACCGAACTTGCACACGAAAATCACTCACAACAAAAGCAAAAGACTCGGCAGACGAAGCAACATCCCCCCAATGAAAAGCAGGGGTGTCACTAGCACGTTAAGAGACAATACAATAAGTGTCAGGGGCCCGAGACTGTTCAACTGCCTCCCAGCATACATAAGGGGGATTACCAATAGACCCCTGGCTGTCTTCAAGCAGGCGCTGGACAAGCACCTAAAGTCGGAATCTGACCAGCCGGGCTGTGGCTCGTACGTTGGATTGCATGCAGCCAGCAGTAACAGCCTGGTTGATCAGGCTCTGATCCACCATGAAGCCTGGTCACAGACCGGGCCGTGGGGGCATTGACCCCCATAACTCTCTCTAGGTAAACTCCAGGTACTCCAGGTATGATTGTGAAGAGAGAGGAGAGTTATGCTATGGCCTTACTGGGCTGAGGTGGATGGTAGCAGTTCTGGTACTGAAGTCGATAGTTGTACTGGAGTGTGCATAAATTCTGTAATGGATTTCTGCGCTATTTTACCCTGCAGTACATTATACAGCTAAAGATAAGGTATCAGCTGCTCTAGACACCGTTTCAGAGCACTGCTTCTAGATTTGTCAGGGTCCTCTTCAGTGAAAATGTCTAACTTTCAGTCAGTTAGTCAGTAAATCAGTCAAGTCAGTCAGTCAGTAAATCGGTCAAATCAATCAGTCAGTCAGTAACTCAGTCAAGTTAGTCAGTAAGTCAGTAACTCAGTCAAGTCAGTCAAGTCCATCAGTCAATCTCAGTCAAGTCAGTCAGTCAGTCAAGTCAGTCAGTCAAGTCAGTCAGTCAAGTCAGTCAGTCAAGTCAGTCATCAAGTCTGTCAAATAAATCTGTCAAGTAAGTCAGTCATTCATCACACAAACTCGTATATTTACCTCATTCTTTTTAACTGTACAAACTGACGCTTCATCAAGGCCATAGGCTCTCTCGTTTAATATTTCTATTTTCTTCTCAACTCTTAGTCTTAAACACTTATACCTTTACTTGCCACACTTCAGCAACACTCATATGCCTACTGGGTGCCATGATTGCTTGACAGAT